TCTTGCTCAGGCTGGTTTCGAACTCCTGAGCTCAAACAATCCGCCCGCCTCGGCCTCCCAGAGAGCTAGGATTACAGGCGTGAGCCACCGCGCCTGGCCCAGAGTTATTCTTTATTGATACCTAGGAGCTTGGTGGTCTGTGGAGTCTTAGCATTCCTTGTGTTTGGCTTTTTGTGAAGTTTTCTTTTCATGCAATTCTGATGATGACAATGTCAGTCTCATTACTGGCTGTACCTGCCTTGTATTCTTCTTGCCCTCATGTTTTGAAATACTGCTCAGATGACCCAAAACGACAGGGGACAAGTTAAGCCCACCAAACTCCCTCATGTGAAACCCCACAGTCCACTGTCTTTGCGTGGACAGTGGTGTGTGGGGGTGCCCTGCTGTCCAGGCTCTGCCCCTTGAAGTCCCCAAGTCCTGGGTCCCCTCCCTGGTGAGATTTTTAGATTCTGCACATAGAAACATTGATTGCAGCAGCTTCGGTATTTTGGAGCCCTCCTTCTCAGCCTGGAAAGATACCAAAAGAGACTGAGCACAGGGAGGCCAAGAGGGTGCAGAGACACCTCCCTGGACCTCAGGGGAGGGCAGGGTGTCCAGGAGGCTGGCCTGGGTTGGGGAAATGAAACAGACCTGGGGGAACATCCTTCTGAACACTTGGCATGTCTTTGCCATCCCCATCAAACACTCGACTCCACCTCTCACACAGAGATGGGGTGAGAAGAAACCCAAGCCCGAGTCTGGCACAAGTCCAGGATGAGTTCCATGGCAGCAGGTGGCAGTGGCCCAGATCTGTCACCTGCTGCAGCTTGTGCAGAGCTCCTTGTGTTCACCCCTCGCTTTGCAGAAAAGTTTATTACGTGATTGTCAAATCCTATCGATGTAGATAGTCTACTCGTGATACTCAATAATTATGCATAGGATTGGAGATGGAAACTAATAATAGAGCAGCATTTATAAAAGTACACAAGAAAGGAGATGCCCAGGAACGGTGTAGTGAAAGTATGTCGCAGCTCTGTGTGAACACTACCATGCTGCCTGAACAACCAAGTACGTGGGAAATAAGCCATCTTTACAGAGTGGGAAACTCTGTAGACTTTCAAGGTGTCAGCTTTTCCCAAATTGATCAGTGCAATCCCAATCAAATCCTCTACAGACATTTTTTTCCCCATGAAAATTAACGAGACTAAAGTTTATCTGGAAATGTAGAGGGCCTAGAATAGCCAAGACAATCTTGAGAAAGAAGAATAAAGTTAGAGAAATTGTATTGCTTGATTTCAAAACCGCAGAGCTTCAGTGATTGAGGTGGTGCGGTGTTGGCATAGGACACATAGCCCGACGGGCCAGACAGAGAGTGGAGAGAGTGGGCAACAAAGGCACCGGGGCAGTGGCCGAGGGGAGGACGGCCTTTCAGGAAAGTGTGCCGAGACCGCTGGTGCCCTGGGCACGCTGCGGCACACGCCACACACGCGGGTCAGCTCTGGGTGGGGCACAGGCCTGCTGGGGCGAGCTGAAACTACAAAGCATTTTTTTCATTGAGTATCTTCAGGACCTTGGGGTAGGCAAAGACTCTTTTACACAGGATGCAGGACCTTGGAGTAGGACACAGAAAAACACTGGTCATAAAAAAATTGGTAAATGGGTTTTATCAAAATGAAACACTTGTGCTCATCCCAGGGCACCATAAGAAACGCTACAAGGCAGGGGGAGACCATGTTGGCAGTACGTACACTGGGCATAAGGCTCATCAGAAACATACAGGGACCTCACCTATTGAAAACCAAAGAGAAGGAGCATAAGAAAAAACTGGGCAAAGGACTGAGACGTTTCACAAAAGGAAACATAGGAATAGCCACTATGGTCAGTCAGGTGGGAGATACAAACTTTTTTTTTTTTTTTTTGAGACAGAGTCTCACTCTTTGGCCTGGGCTAGAGTGAGTGCCATGGCGTCAGCCTAGCTCACAGCAACCTCACACTCCTGGGCTCAAGCAATCCTTCTGCCTCAGCCTCCCAAGTAGCTGGGACTACAGGCATGCGCCACCATGCCTGGCTAATTTTTTTCTATATAATTTTAGTTGGCCGATTAATTTATTTTCTATTTTTAGTAGAGACGGGGTCTCGCTCTTGCTCAGGCTGGTTTCAAACTCCTGAGCTCAAACAATCCGCCCGCCTCGGCCTCCCAGAGAGCTAGGATTACAGGCGTGAGCCACCGCGCCCGGCCAAACTTTTTATTTTTGAGATAGGGTTTTGCTCTGTCACCTACGCTGGAGGGCAGTGATGAGATCATAGCTCAGTACAGCCTGAAACTCCTGGGCTCAAGCAGTCCTCCCATCTCAGGCTCCCCAGTAGCTGGGACTGCAGGTGCCACCACATCTGGCTAATTTTTTTTATAGAGACAGCGTCTTGCTATGTTGCCCAGGCTGATCTCAAACTCTTGGCCTCAAGTGATCCTCCTGCCTGGCTCTCCCAAAGTACTGGGAGTAATTACAGGCATGAGCCACTGCGCCCGGCCAGAGACTAAAACAAATGAGAAACTACTACACATTCATCAGAGTGGCTAAAATGAAAAAAACCTTACAGTATCAAGTGCTAGTGAGGATGTGGAGCATCTAGAACCCTCACATCCCACTTGTGGGATGCAGGACGGTGCCGCCACTCTGAAGAATGGTTTGTCAGTTTCTCAGAAAGTTCAAGATAACAATTACCCTGTGGTCCAGCAGTTGCACCTAGGAGTTTACCTAAGAGAAATGAAAACACAGGTCCCACAGAAAGATTGTACGAGGACGCTCATGGCAGCTTTGTTCATGGTAGCTCAGAACTGGAGGGATGCCCCTCAGCAACGGGAGGGAACAGACGCGCGCAGGTGGGGGCCAGGGCATGCTCTGAGCCCATCGTAGCCGTGCCAGGTGTGGGCTGGGTGACCCGTAGCAGCGTTCTCTGCCATGCCTGCCCACATAGAGCTCTTGGGCGGGGTGAGGTATCAAATATCTCTGCAGAAATGACAAGTGCTTGCTTCTCTTCCCGCCCTGCAGGCACAGTCGGTGTGCAACTCCCCGGCCTCCATGAGTATGGCGCCGTTGGGGGCTCTGCGCATGTGGCCACTGCTGCCATGTGGGCCTGTCAGCACTGCACCTTCATGAACCAGCCGGGCACAGGCCACTGTGAGATGTGCAGCCTCCCCAGGACCTAGGGCTCCAGCCCTCGCTGGGTGGGACTGGGCTCAGCCCAGCCCTCTCTGAAGCCGGGAGCACTGTGCAACGTGTTCCCAGTAACGGCCCACGGTGGGCAGCCCTGAGGGGCAGGGGGCTGGCTACCCTGGGGTCTCCGACCCACTGAAGCTTCTCAGCACGTTTTTCCCTGGAGAGGGAGCCACAGCTGGTGTTCTGCAGGCCGAATGAAATCTCCAAACTGGAAACGCAGAGTGGCCCCCACCCAAGAACACACCGCACGCCTAACCCGGTTGACAAGAGCCCGCCATGGTGGAAGGACCACGCACGTCTGAGTCATCACTTGGAGTTGGGGGCACAGGGGTTGCTGCTGCCATCCAGCTTTCTTTCTCCTTCCTTTTTGATGCTTTTCGTTCTTGTCCCCACTCCGCATTTGTTTGGTTGGGAGCTCCTGGTACCTCTGTGTCCTGTTGCTCTGGGGCAGAGGCCCTGCCTGCAAGGCCACTTTTCCTCTCCAACAGCCATTGCCTGGGAACACGCGGGTGACACCTGCTCGACCTGTGGGCTGCAGGTTACTCCGCTGTCTGCCCTTCTCCTCCACCCGACATCCAGGTGGGATTTGAAGTCTGCGTTGGTTATAATAACAGTTATCAGTAATTCCTGCCCGGAAGACTTTTATTTATTTATTTTTTAAGATAAAAACTGCACAAAAGGGGAGTGAGAGAGACTAGTTTCCGCTTCCTTCCCTCCTTTAGTGAAGCCCTTGAGGGTGTGTTCAGGGCGGGTGTGTGGACAGGGGTACCACAGTCAGTTCTCCTGTGAAGTAAACCTCAGTGCCTGAGACTTTTCTACCAAGCCACAGCTGTGACAGCTGTAGACACTGCAGGCTGAGCAGGGGCAACATGGCTCCCGCCTAGCGGGCAGCCCCTCCACATGGCCTGGGTGTGGGGAGAGCTGGATTGCCTGGGACCAGGTGCTTTGGTCCCTTCCCGCCTCGAGTTCCTCTGTCCCACTGCCACGCCTGGCTGCGGCCTTCTGGCACAGTAGTGCGGCCACCAAGACAGGCCTGGGTGAGGCCATTAGGGGCTTGGCCTCTTGTGAGGGCCACTTGGGACCTCTGCAGGGCACTGGGCAGTTGATATTGTACTGGCAGTGTGAGAACCAGGCAGTCCAGAGCATGGTTGTGGTGGGATCTTGCATGTGTACCTGTGGCATCTGAGTCTCCTTGGTGGAGGGCTGCTGCATGGCCCTCCCTTCCCCCAGGGGAGCTGTGGGCATCTCCACGCCTCTTTGCCTTAACGACAGCCGTATTGGAGTTGCCCTCCACCTGTGAGCAAGGGTGGCCCAGCCACAGACTGTGCTTGGAGACTTCTGTCTCCACCCTGGGAGGGGCAAGCCTGGGTGACGGAGCCATGGCTAGCACCTCCAGGTCCACCTGGCACAGGACACCAAATGGAAGGCCCAGGCAGTTTGTCTGCTTTTGGGACCAAGGGCCAATAGGGACAGTCTGTCCAAGCAGAGCTGTCCTGGGGGATGGGGGGGTGGGGAGGAGCTGGGCTGAAGCAGACCCCCGCAGCCAGCTGCCTGCAGCCATGGAAAAGGCGCCCGGGTTCCTGGGCTCCTGCTTGCCCCTGCGTTTCCCAGGCCATTGTGCCAACACTGCTTGCACCTGGGTGGTACTGGGCAGCACAGGTTCTGGGGACCTTGCTGTGGCCTCCCGGTTGCTCCTCCACCTGCTCTGTCTCTGCCCCCCAAGTTACTTTCCTTTCCTCTCCTGTCAGTGTCCCCTCTCTTTGAAGTTCTGGCATTCACAGAATTCATGTTTTCTTTTGTCTTTTAGCTAAAGAAAAAGTGTTGTGATTTCTCTGCTTCTGGTTTTGAGTTACTCTTTGTTCAGTAATGCACTTTATATTTTATTGTCCAAAGAGAGTCAAAGTTAAGCATTCAGGGTCGGGGGTGAACCCTACCCTGCCCGGGCTCTGGGAGGCTTGGCCACCCCATCTCGTACAGAGGGGCAGGCTCAGCCCTGCCTCAAATCCTCACACCTGCCCTTGGTGTGGACACCTCAGGCCACTGGCACCATGACCCAGTGAGGGGATGAGTGCACACCTGCCCAGGTGAACACATGGTGGCTGCCACTGTCTCCTGGCTCTCTCCCCTCCTTGCCCCACCCTAGCTCACCTCCAAGCTGGCTGCTCCTGGGATACAGGTGCTTGGCTAACGGCTTCTGTCTTAGGCTGGCAGGTCTGCATCGCTGGATTTGGACCAGCCCTGCAGTGGAACCTAATAAAGCGCCTGAAGCAACTGTCCTGACGCCGGTGTGTTGGTCCCGCGCACCGAACCATGTGGGTCGTGGCTGGCGTCTGCTTAGTGGACGGTGATTTGGTAACTTGTCCCCCAAGATGTCACTGTCCTCCCCAGATGTGTCTGCACCATTTACAGGTAGGGACCCCGCTACCTGCTCCTCTGCCCAGGCTCCTTGGCCCTGTTCTTCCCACTTAACATCTGGGTGAAGGAGAAGAGCATGTCGGTTTTAAACACCTGGCCTCCCTTGGGTGTCACGTGGGTGCTCCTGGGTCTGTGCTTTGCTGGACAGGTACACGTGGGCACGCAGCCAGTGAAGGACAGAGTCCAGGAAGCCCCATCTACAGCGAAGAGTGAGGCCTGGCGGCCGATGTGCTGCCTTCCCTGTGCCTGAATTCTTCCCACGTGACAGCCAGGGAGCATCCTGAAGGAGCCCCTCTGGTCTCCAGGCACCAGCCTTCCCATCCGTGGGTCCGCACCACTTTGTCCTTTGGCCAGGCGATCCACTGCTCCCTAACAATTACTAAAAAAACATAGAATCCCACACTGATGTCTGAAGGGGTTCCCTGGGGTAAGGCAGACCATACACAGCCCAGTGAAAAGGGGGCACAGGCTTCTGGACTGCCCCCAGTCCCGCTCCCCAGTGTGGCTTTGCTTTTGACGGCAGCGCAGTTCCCCACCCACCGCTTGCCCTGGCCGTGCCTCTCCCATCTCCCCTCCCAGCAGTGGGCTCTTGCTCATCACTTCAGGGCCTTCTTGAAAACCCCCTTATATGAGAGGCAGAGTCCTTGGAGCTTTCCTGCTCCCAGGTTTTATGAAGTGATAGGCTGCTGGACCCCCACCCCCACCCCTGGAAATCCAGCAGATGGAACTGCTTGGACGGTCCCACCCCCCGCACGTGTTTCCTACTGGGCTGTGCTGCGGGTGAGACTCGGCCCCTCGGTGCTCAGCCCTCATTGCCTGCAGCTTCTAGTGCACGGGTCCCCCACAGGAGTCTCACCCTGTATTTGTTAGGCCCCTCTGTGCAACTTGTCCTTAGTGAGATGGTACCACATCCAATGTGTGCTGTGCTGTCCCACACGCTTCCTCGTAGGACGGTGCAACTTCCACATCCTCGACGGGGGCTGCCTCACTCCCTGTCACCCCTTAGCCAGGTGTCGGCCTCTGCTGCGCACAGCCCAACAGCCGGACCCTTTCCTTGTGTCTAACTCACCCCAGGGGTCTGCGCCCAGGGTCCCTTGTGTGGCTGTTGATCGTAAATCCCGTCACAGAGGGGGCTGGGCTATGCTTGGGGCCAGGAGCCTGCCAGCCCCCCAGAGCAGAATGGAGTGGGACAAAGGTGTGACCCGCAGGCCGAGTCTGCTCCGCTCAGCCAGCCTCCTCCCAAGTCCACTTCCTCCCCCACGTGGTCATTTTCTCTAGGACAGTCTTGGCCTCTGTATTGGAAGACGGCCTGGGAGGACAGGGTGGGACCTGGTTCAAGGATGGGGACAGTCTTGGAGGGTTAGGATTGGTGATCAGAAGACCAGCTGAGAATACCTGTGCCCTGTGGGGAAGCTCCGAGTGACGGTGTTTAAGAGGAGCACATCCTCACTTCCTGATTCTGAGGCCACTGAGAGCCTGTCCTGACCTGCCTGGCCCTTCCCTCCCGAGCGCCAAGGCCAGCGTTTCCAGCCTGGACTCCAGAGCAGCCCTGGGGAGCAGGGAGGGCACCTCACTCAAGTTCTGTCTGACCCAGCACCCAGATCCAGTGTGACAGTGGCTGGCTGCCCACTGCCTTGGGGTTAGTACGGGCCCAGCCTCAGCGTGGGGTTAGGATTTCTGTATTCTGGCAGATGCACCAGGCCTTGGTGATGTCAGCTCACTTCACAGCCCAGTGCCCCTAGACTTCTTTTCCTCAGGGTGTCTGGCCTTGGAGCTTCCGCGTTGGCTTCTTAAAAGTCAGGGGTGGGGGGCTCTTGGTCTTTCACTTGTGAATGGTTTCCTGGCCTGGAGGAGGTGTCCACACTGCAGGCACCTCCAGGGGAGCTCGGGGTCTCTCTCCAAAGCCCTGGCACCCAGCCGGTCCCAGGAGGGGGCGGGGTGTCTTGCCCTGGCGTCACCGCGGCCACCCCTCCCCTGTCCCCCGCTGATCCTAGGGAGCCTCTGCCAGTCATTTTCTTTGCTGTCCTCTGCCCCCAACCCAGAAATCCCATTGGCTTACTCGTCCCCACGTGTCCGTGCATGGCGGGGAGCGCACCTCTAAGTCTAGCTCCAACCGGCAACATTCTGGACACGGGGGCCGCGAGGCCGCGGCGTGACTGACAAGAGCTGGCGCTGCCCCCACCCGTCCTCCGGTGTGTTCCTCTGCGGCAGGAGCCAGCTGTTGTCCGAAACTCCAGATAATCGAGGCGCTTACAGAAAAGCTTGCGGAGCGGAGCTCTGGGGACACGCCCCGAAGGGAGCGGGCGTCCGCCCAGCCCGGAGCAGGCTCTGCAAGGCCAGGCCTCCCTGCCCGCCTGGGCACTCCTGCGGCGGCTGGAGCCAAGCAGCCGCCAAGGGCTGCCACGGGCCTGCGTCTGGGCGGACCCCGCGCGCCGGCCGCGGGTGGGAGACGCTGCAGCCCTGGGCGGGAAGCCTTCGCGTTCCTGCGTCTTGCTGTGAACACGTGGACCCCGGCGAAACCGCCGGTCCAGTCGTCTGTCGCAGTGACTGGGCTCCTCCGCAGGCGAGCGTGGCTCCAGCGCAGAGACGGCCCCGGGCCAGTCCCCGCCCCGCCCCCGCTCCGGCTCCGCCCCCGCCTCCAGCCCGGCCCCACCCCCTGGCTCCCGCGCCCGGCTCTGGCTCCGCCCCGCCCCGGCCTCCAACCCGGGCCAGCCCGGCCCCGCCCCCTCCCCGGCTCCGGCCCCGCCTCCGCCTTCAACCCGGGCCCGTCCCCGCCGTGCTGCTTTACGGCGGAAGCCGCGCCGCGTGGCGAGCGGCCGTAAAGGGGCTGTGTGGAGCCGCGCCCGCGGGCGGGCTTCGGCTCCCCGCCCATACTCACGATGGCTGGCGCCGCGCCGCGGGTCCAGTACCTGGCGGGCCTCTGCTGCCCGCTCGGGGGCCTGGCGTCGGGCAAGCCCCGCGTGCTGTGTCACGAGGCGGAGGCCTTCCTGTCCACCGGGAGCGAGCTTGTCTACGTGTATGACCTGGAGGGCGGGCTGCTGACCGTGAGCGCCGGGCCCACGGTGGCGGGACGGGGCGGGACGGGAGGGGGCGGGCGGAGTCGCGCTTGTGGACAAGGAAGGGCCGAAGGCTCACGCCGTCCGCCTGACGTCGCTGTCCTGACACCCAGGCGGCGTACCGGTTCCCCGGCCAGGTGTGGTACCTGGAGCTCCTGGCCCCTCGCCGGGCGCTCTACGTCCTGTGCGCCCGGAAGGGCATTTACTGCTTGTCGCTGGACCACCTGAGCAGGTGAGGCGTGGGCGTGGCCCGTGCGCGTCCCAGCCCGCCCCGACGCGCGGTCGAGGCCGCCGTGGCCGTTGCCACCCCTGCTCTGCTCAGACATCACTCTTTGACCCACATTCTCGGTTCGCCCCGGGTTGGTTCAGATGAGCAGCTCACCGTCACTGCACTTGGGGGTCGTGGGCTGCCAGTAGGCCCTGGAGCCTCGAGCGCCATCTGCGCTGTATTTGGAGCCCCCTCGCCCGACAGCGACAGCGTTGTGAACCGGCTTTCGCTGTTATTGCTGCAGAGAGCGCTTAACAGGTGGGGTCAGATGGTTAAGTCTGCAGGGGGGAGCAGGATCCTGCCCCTTGGACCCTGGTGTATCTGCTGAGGTACAGTTTTGGGAGGAAGGTGTCTAGAAAGGGGAGGAGAGCCTGTGATTGTAGACACAGGAAAGGCACCTGGATCCCGAGTCGGGGGTTGGCAAAGACTGGGTCTGAAAGAAGTGAGCACTGAGCAGCTGGGCCCCTGTCCCAGCACAGCCCAGACTGCGCGCCCGCTGACGGTGGGCTGCACCACAGAGAGGTGGTGTGTGCACCTCATGGTCTGGGCCTCAGAATTGGCCAGCTCTGTGCTGAGCAGAACTGTCTGTTCAAAGTCTGCTTTGGAAACCTGTGTACTTCCTGTCAAGTGTGTCTTCCAGGGACCAGTGCAGAGTGGAGTCCGGGGGCCAGGTGGGAGGAGGCGTGGCAGACACCTGCTAGGAGCTGTGGAGTTACTGTAGAGACCT